CCCCAAAACCCCAAAACCCCAAAACCCCAAAACCCCATTCCAACACCTATTTTTGAAATATCATCATAATTACCAATGCTTCCTGGATATATGGGCTTCTACTGGAAGCGGAATAGTCCTGGACTATTATTACGAGGATTTGAAATAGCAAAACCTGCCAACTGGTAGTTCCCTTTCTGAGGCTGAGGAGGCTTGGCATTAGCAAAACCACCTCCATTGTTGTTTGAATTCAAGTTCATATTTCTTAGAGGAGGTCTCATCATCCCAAGCGGAGGCTTACTGGACTGGTAATTCTTGATTCCTGGTTGTAACTTTGTGTTAATAGGAGGCATTCCAATCTGTCTTTTCTCAACAGAAGCTTGAATGATGCTTTTCTGTTCTTCATATTTCCGTGAATTATTAGAATCACTTCTTCTGTGAATATCAATAGATCTCCTCTGTCCTCTGGATACTAGGTTGCTTGCTGCTCTCTGTAAAGCTTTTCTCTCAAGGCTGTCTCTTCTAAAGTATCCTCCTTGGCTTCTTTGCTTGACTAAATGAAAATCTGCTTGCTTATTTTTAGAGTGGACTACGCTTTTTGGCACAAATCTATTCGTCTCAGGCTTCTCAACTTCCCAGTTATTTCTAGAGGAGGCTGACCCAGCTCTAGATCTACTGTGAACAGAAGGAAGTCTGGAGGGCTCACTATTCATTCTTTTTAGGCCTCCTCTTGAGTATTTTGGGCGAGGAAGTCTTTTGTTAAGTTCTTGCATCTTGTAAGGCATCTTAATTGTTCCTAATAATCCATCGTTCTTGCTCTCAGGATCTAGATTCTTACAAGTATCAGTCATTTGTGTTTCTAGCTCTGGCATTTCAATAATATCAGAGGATGATAGTCTATCTTTTGGGGCAACTTTCAGCATCTTCTTTATCAAGTCTCTTAGAGTTTCAGAAAATGTCTTCGTCACAGGCGTATAGATTCCTTTGCAAGCCTTACGAGACAATTCTTGCATATTGAGAGCAGTAAAAGGAGGTTTCTTCATAGCCATTTCATAGACTACACATCCTAAACTCCAGATGTCGCTTTTGAAATCATAAGTTTGTCCCTTCCAGATCTCAGGAGCTCAATAATAAGGAGTCCCTGTTTGTGTTTTCATCAACCCTCATTGGGCAATTTTGGAAACATTCATATCTCCTAGCTTCAAGACCCCATCCTTCGTAATAAACACGTTTGCAGGTTTCAAATCTCTGTGGCCAATTCCTTGTTGGTGGAGTGCATAGAGACCTCTGACCATTTGGATAGAGTAGCTCCATATTTTTTCCTCGGTTAATAAATTTCTAGTCTTATTTTTATTCATAATACTCTGTAGGTCTCCATTCTCAGCGTATTCCATGACTATGTAAAGCACATTTTCTTTATGATCAATAAAGGCATCTTTATAAGCAATAATATTATCATGTTCAAGAGAAGCCAGTATTCTGATCTCGTTCAAGGCATTTTTCTTCTCAGTGTCACCTAGTTCGTCTAATTTAACTTTCTTCAAAGCATAAAAATTTGAAGGATCCTCAGCTATAGGATTAGGAAGGGCTCTTTACTTTTGGAAATCTTCTTGACTTTGTACACGTCACTGAACGCTCCTGACCCTAATCTCTTTATAATCTTGAAATCACTTATTTTTGTCTATGTCCTTGGTCAGAGCTGTCAAAAAGGGGTAGAGAATTAGAAACTTACTTCCATATTTAAATTTATGAATTTTCAACTGAAATATAGTAAATAGGGGTTTTGGGGTTTTGGGGTTTTGGGG